CTGCTGAAATAATCTGCAATCATACATGATTATTTCCTCTCAAGGAAAAATGGCAAAGGACACAAAAGAGGAAGAAGGGCAGGCAAACTGACACTCTGAGAGAGTTGGGCATAGAGCATTCTACTCTCTCTCTCTTCTCTCCCAGGATCACGTTTTGTTCAACTGGGAACTGTAATAACATTTTGTATTTGCCATATGTTTTGCATTTTGACTTATGAAGTTATCTTTGTGTAGATATCCCAGAAGTTTCCTACTAGAAACTATTTTCTATGAAAAAGAAAACTAACTTCATTATTTATTTAGACAGACTATATTTTACTACAGCAAAGCAAGCTGTTAAAAATGCATAGACTTTATTTAGGAGTTGATATTTGTAGTAATTCAAGGTGCCAGCTTAAATGAATCACTGCTTGGCATCTAGTTAGTAGAAGGAGGAAAGCATCCTGTGAGCAGGCAGCATGCCAGCTGAACATTTTAGCATGACTAGAGTATGCCAAATGATCATCATGTTGCTTTAGAGGCTTCTACATACAGCGCTACGAAAGATTAACATTGCCAACTGTGAGCGTAGCTGCCTATTACTTTACAGGCTAGACTAATTTTTCTTCTGAGTGGAATCCTCTGGTTTGTATTACTATTGCAGCATATCACTGCAGAGAGAGTACATTTTATAATTTTTGAATTATAATGTTATTACAAGTGTAAAAAAGTGCAAGCATATGAACAACATCTCCATGTCAATAAGAGGCAAAGTCCCATTCTCAAAAGCCTATGGCCAGCACAAGAGGTGTCACAGGGATTTACTTTCTCCACTGTACTGACAGCACTGACAGTGATATGGAGCTATGAAAAATGGCAATGTCTTGTTCTACATAACGGAGGTATAACATACGATATACAGATATATGGCACTGGTCAAGTGACAGGATATTCCCAGAATGCAGCATAAGCAAACCTGTAACTGAGTGACACAGCTTTCTACGTGGAAGTTTTCCTTAGCTGATGGTCCCATCAGAGATCAAATGACAGAACTACTGTGGAAGACTTGCTATCAGAACAGTGGCATTGGAAGACTTAAGAGATGAATGTCAAAGAATACTTCCTTGTGTTTAAAAGAAAGTGTCTATATGTATATTTACTTAATCAACTTCACCTTTGCCATTCAAAGAAGTATTTCTCTATACCTATGACTGTTGTCATTTTTCAGTTACCCAAGTGATCCTCGTATCATTGTTGCTATACAAGCCCCAAAATGACTTTTTTTCAGATTTCCATCTATATGGAAATCTCATTTTCACTCTAAACAAAAAACATCTGGGAACCATGCAAAAACAGCTTTATACCATTTCTGTTGCACTGTCTTGGCTTTGAATACTGAAAGCTGCACAGACCTTTTAGAGTAGTTAGAACTGAGTGCTGTAGCAGCTAGACTGGGAACTGGGAAAGGGTCAGTAAGCAGGAACTCTAATCCCAATCTTACTGCTTTGTTTCACACCCAATCTGGTGCAAAAGGGACAGCCCTGCTTTCCCTTTCCAATCCCCAGCTATATTTATCTCAGTGGATCTAACTGCTGTACAACCACAGGAAGAATCAGATAATCCAGATATTTGAACAGAAAGCTGTTGATTTTTGGGGTGTGTTTCTATCAGGTCAGCTGACTGATCTTACTTACTCTGTAGACTGAAATTACAATGTAATTTCTCAAAACAAAAAACAAACAAAAAACCCCCAAAAACCGTCCAAACCAATTTATTACTTTTCTTCACAAGTTCTGCTGCCAGTGCTATCAAAATATATAGCTATTGAAAGAGTTAGATTTCTAGGGCAGATTAATCTGGTCTCCTTCTGTAAACACAGACAGAAGGAGTATATCCAAACATCCCTTATTTGAAAGGCTACTTTTAACATCATCCTATCATTATCCTACTACCATTAACTCATAGTTGCCACTACATTTCTCTCAGATACACTCCTGACAACACATCTGTTAAACAAATGAAGGACTATCTTCCTTATGACCTTTACTGCTTTGATTATCTTTTCTATCTCTTCAACCATTTACAAGAACCACATACCCATCAATAATTATATACAAGTGATCCATTATTAAGACTATAAAACAACTACATGAAAGGTGTTAATGTCATTTCTGAAAAGGTGCTATTCCAGTGGCAGTGCATAAGAGAAGGAAGAAAAAAAAGTGGGTTTTAATGCCTCACTGCTAGACTGTTCAAGGCTTACCGTTTTTGCTGTTTAAACTGAATTTTCAGGTAATATAAAGCTTTATTATCTAAACTTCAAAATATTACTATCTATATCGCATGGAACATAATTCTATACTATTTGCTTTTCTATTTTTTATTCAGCAAATAATCTGAAAAACATGAGACACACAGCTTATATTCAGAATAAAATGCTGGTGCTAATTAATTCAGTGACAGAATCTCATCCACTCCAACACCTTGATGACACTGGGACTGGATGCTGTGGCCCACTGCTGTCCCAGCTAATCAATTACCTTTTCTTCAGGAATCCTGCATCGCATGTTTTCCAGGTAACTTGATGTATTTTCCACATTTGTATACCTCAAAAGAATATGGGCAAAGTCTTCCTCACTGATGGTGTTCATCCCATTAGAGTAGGAAAGGAATTCTATCTCTAGAACCTCAGTTTGTAGGTTGTCCATAAATCTAAAGTAAAAACATAAATATGAAGAAATAGTAATACTTTGTATTTCTACTACTTAAGTCCTTAAAAGACTCATAGAATATAAAGCCAAATAGCATTATACAAAATAGTTTGATTTTCATAGTACTGATGGTAAATCCCTTATCTATGTTGACGTATTTTCTAATCAGTACAACAATCTTAACTCAACGATGAAGTATTTTACTAAGGATTAAAATGACTTAATACTTACATTTCTAATTTATTTCTAGTTTATGTTTGCTTAATTTTCTTCTTCAGTGTGTCACTGATCTTTATTTTTATATGCTAGACTAAAAATTCCATCATGGTATTAAATGAATTCCCTAAGTTTATCCCCCAAATAATTACTTACAGATTATGCTTAAACCTTACCTTTCTCTTTTCAACAAGCTAAGAGCTTGATGAGCTCTTGCAGCCTTTCAACTGAAACTTTTTTTTCACTATTCTTATGATATTTCTATAAACTCTGCCCAACTTAACAACATAGGTAGCATATTTGGGACACCAAAACTGGATAAAGTATAAAACCTCTATAAAGTTTTTTTATATTTACATTTATATGAGTATATATAAAAATGTATTTATATATTTACATGTAAAGATACTGTCTTTATAAGCAAATAGATAAAATATACTATTATTTTATATTTCAAAATTATTAAGTATGGGATTGTATTCCAAAACCACCTCCTGAGTCTGCTTGATGTCCTATGCAACCAAGGATGATATCAGCTCTCTGGTCCCAGTACTGCACTGGGAGCTCATGTTCATCTGACTGTCAACCACAACCTGTAACACTTCCCTGTTACAGGTTCCCAAGAGTTCCCATCCCATAGACATTGCCTGCAATACTCATTCCTAATATATAACTTGACTTCTAAAGAACCATGAGGAGCTCAAATCAAAAGGATGTCTAGGCAAAAGTATAAGTGCAAGGTAAACATACAGTAGTATTTCCCTCACCAATACATAGTTTAATGATTTTTGAGCTGGTAAAGTAGTGTTGAATAAAACTTGATGGATCCCTCTTTCTGAATATGTTTACTAGATTTTGACCTCTTTAGCATTCACAACATCTTACAGCAACAGAAAGACATTTTAACTAGATGCCGTTTGAAAAAGTACCTTCTTTTCTGGTTCTTGTTTTGAACTCACATCATGAGTTCACATCACTTGATGACACAGTTCTTATATGAAATAATGGATACTTCTCATGACATACATAATCTTAAGGCAAAATATTTTGGAAACATCCGACTGATTAGAATGCACAGGTAAATGATAACCATAAAGACAACAGGTATTGGGAGTATTTGCTGAGGAAACAATAACCAAACACTATCTGTGCATCTCTTTCAACAACACAGAAACATACAGGTTTATGGCTCTCTTATTATGGTACTCTCCCTATATTTTTAAATTCTATTTTAATTTGTGTAGTAATTAAGCCAATAGCTTCTACTGTGTTTTCACTTTTTCCCAGAAGAAGCTTCTTCTAAGGTGCATACATGGTATCCTCAGAAAAATCTTTACATTTAAATAAGTCCCTAAGAGCAGAGATGTACAGTTTTTTTCAAAAGCACTGAAAATCAGGGGAAAAAAATAAAAATAATTCAAAACCAAGAAAAACATTCCTACATGCCCATCAGAACATGGTTGGGGTATAACCTCTCCACTCCAAACCGACGACACATACAAGTGCTACCAAAATTTGCAAATGCAGCAGCATTAGTACAGGACTTTTTATTGTTGGTTCACTTATTGTTTTATTTTGCTCTTTGTACATACAACACACACAAAGGGAACATAAATTTTATATACGTGGCTGCATAAACTATGTGTTTAGTAATATAATACACATTAATTAGAACAAGCATGCAAGTATTTTTTACAAGAAATTAATAAAGTTAAGACTCACCTATAAAAATCTTCAAAGTTCAGTTCAGCTTTTCCTTTCTTGCCAAAAAAGTGTACAAGCAGTGTAGTATCTGACAGTGAACTTGAAATATCATCAGCACGCTTAAATATTAGAATAAAAAAAGGTAAAGGCCACGATTGGATCAGTTACAGAAGTATAATCTCAGAATGCCTATCATCACAATAGACCTTACTATTAAAAGAGTTTGTGTTTTATATTCAGTGTCTTAAAAAAGACTTTAGCAATAAATTCCATTAAATTAATTTAGTCATGCAATTTTCACAGAAAATAGCGTTAGGCTGTTAATTGCATTCAGTAGAAAACACTTAAAACAACAATATAATATAATGGAAGCTGCAATGAAGGGGGAAAAGGCATGAAAAATAAAACCAGAAACGCTCAAGGAAAAAAAGTGTTCTAGTCAGTTGAGGTATACCGTAAAAATAACTCCCATTCTACACTATCTCCTTTCCCTTCTACTATGCAACTACAAAGAAATTAAAGGAAGTTACTTCATATACTTTTATTTTATATTTCAAAATTACTAAGTATGGGATTGTATTCCAAAACCACTCACATCAGTCAGGTGTACCTTATATGATTCTTTTCTATAAGTAGCAGATGACTACAGTTTAAATTTTATTGCCCCAAAATAGTTAAAAGAACAGAATTGTAAGAAATTTTGAAATCATTAAGTAATATTTTGACTTGTTCTCTTAAGAATGTTCCTCATCTACTGAGTATGTGGCCTCTGCATCAGACAGGAATCTTTGAACAGGTACTAATACTTTTTCCTTAATAACTAACTATCAACTTTGAAGGCACAGAATTAGAATAGTAAAAAAAACCTAATTTTGATCATTTGTAAGAGCAAGAGTTGTACATAGGAAGACATATAAACAGAGGTAACTATCATCTGTGTATAGTGATCGTGCAACGTTCTGCTTTTTACTACATATTCATTACCCTTAACTGTTGTGTATGTGCATAGATTTTACCCCTTTCACAGAGAAACTCTTGAAATACTGAAGAGCTAGAAAAATAGTTCAATAATATATGGCTCTTAAATAAGCCATAGTATTCCACCATAGCAATGTCCTTCTGGTATTAACATGCATTTGCCAAGATTTGAAATTCCAAAAGTAATATATTTAGTCTCCTTGCTGTACCTGCCTAGGGAGAACCTTCTGTCCAAGCTCTTGTTTTCCTTACAAAAACAAGATCTTATGAAAAGCAAAGAGTGGGAGCAAAAAGCAGTAGTCTCTGCTCTTCCTAGGCAAGCTACCACCCACCAGCAACACCATATTTTTGTGGAAGTGTGCCTGCTGACTCTACTGTTAAAGTACAAAACAGAATACACAGTACAGAAACCTAGTAAGTATTTGGGAGATGTAACAGTACTAATTTATCACTATAATGACAGATTATAAACTTAGAGGATTTACTGTTAAGTACAGAAAACTGTTTATACAGATCTATAAAGATCTGCATATGTAAACCTGCAAGCTGCACTCAAGAGTCCTCTAAGTCTGACTTTATTTCATAACTGAAGAGGCTATAAATTTATAACAGATGGAGAAACTCTAAATGAAGAAACTAGGAAGACATTTTGAACAGTTCAACATCATGTATTGTGAATAAACATTTCATATCTACATTCACTGAAATACACTATATTAATTTCAAATTTACATTTGATTTGTAAAAAATGTAAAATGCAATATCCATTAAGAGTATTTATGTATCAACAAGGAAAAACATGAGGCAGCAACAACACAAATCCTTTCCTTTCAATATCTAAGAACTAAAGAAATGAGAGAGACTTTTCTGTACTTTAGTATAATCAGTTTACAATTCTCAAGATTGTATTTCATGTACTCTAGCTTCCTCTTTATTCTCATATTCTTCTCCAGGGAGAAGTAAGATGACATAGTTTATATATAGGCAGAGAGATATTTCATGTCCTTCAATTAAGACAGCTCTGATCTTAGAGTGAGCAAATTCAGAAAAGTAATCACTGTTTGTCTTTTAATATTGTTATCCTCCACCACAGGACACAATATACTGAAATGCAGATACCCTGATTTCTTATGTCTTTTAAGCAATTAAATCCCTAAGCACATTCAAACAATTTCCCTCAAGTACACTGAAAAGATATCAAATGTTAAATTAGCCTTTCATCTTGCAAAAACATTTCAAAACCTTAGACTTAGGTTGCATTCATCCGTATCTAAAGAACCATTAAAAAAAATACAATCTGTAAGTCTTTTCACAATTCCCATTTGGTCAGCCTCCTTAAATGAAAAAACCCCAAACAAAAACCTCCACCCAGAAACTCAACCCAGTATGCTTCTCTGCAAAATTGCAGGCAACTGAAAACTATTCCTGTGCTCCATTATATGAATTCTCTCTCTTAAGGGGTAAGCCTTAATCATTTAAAACTATTATTTATTGTTCACAATAAAATGAATTCTGTATTTTAGATCAGTGTAAATGCAGTGACTGCACCTGTTTCCATATCTACAAATACGAGACTCTATTCTGATCTAATATATTTTGAAATCTTTTAAATGAGAATAAAACCCTGGCTCACTTCTCTTTACACTAACTGCAATACAAATACCAGTAAAGAGACAAAGAGGAGAGGCAAGTTTCAGTCACATTATTGGCTTGCTGCATAATGGCAACATCTTTTCCTCCTAATTTCCTAACCTGAAGAGCAGTAATTTTTTTTTTTTTTTTGAGTTCTACAAAATTAATTTCAAGCTTTTGATTAAAGAGTGTTGACTAAAAGTAAGTTAAACTCATGAGCTATGGTCCACTGATAGCAACATATTCTGAGAATGAAGTATACATATTATGCTTTGAGTTAGTAAAAGCTTTCTTACTGCAAGTCCTTGATTTTTCAACAGTGATAGTAACCCTACAAGTCCTTGATTTTTCAACAGTGATAGTAACCCTACTGATTTCAAGTTTCATTTAGTAATTTAAGAATAAACCCACAAACTGAACTCAGTGGTAAATGGCATATTCCAACAGGATGGTGTGGTTGCTTTCAGTTAGGAATAGCAGGAACAATACTGTAAACTGTTCTAGAAAGAAACTGGATGTGATGAGTAACTTCTTTTTCCCCCCAAAGAGACTTTGTAAGTTGATTCTTATAAAAACGAACCTTATTTACTCTCCTTTTCAACTTACACAAGACCTTCTCAAAAGGCTATGAAACAACACAGACTCCAGTGTCACCTAACTTTATGCCACTTTCTTAGCACAGATGGCTATAATATCATTCAGATGTGAAAGTACTTGGGAGAGAGAAGCATGTGGATAAAAGCCAGCCGGCTCAAACTTAAACCAAGCCAGATAAAGATGATTATGGTGAGAAGTGGGAAATTCTCAGTGGAGCAAAAGAAGGATATACACTTTTTTCTCCATAAAATGAATTAAAAGTGAGCAGAGAGACTTTTTATACATTTCACAGACAATTTGAATCAATGGTTAATATAGATGCTGTTAAGCTTCAATTACATACAGATACTAGCCTGAGGCATCAGATGTAAAAAATCTCTCTCACCAAATTAAAGGCATTTAAAAGCAAGCAAATAAAGGCTAGGCATACTGCTTTATTGCAGGATTACTATGAATATTGCTATAAATATTGGTCTAAAACTCAGTTCTGTAACACTATATTTTGTTTTGTTCAAAGGCAAATGAACTCAAGCTGAGAGAGGTACAGAGAAGGCCTATTTGATACCTGGGAAACATAGGTTCTACCTTAAGAGAAAAATCAAAGACCTTGTTCTGTTTAGCCTACGATAAATTAAAACTGTGGGCTATGACTGCATTTATAAACACAACCATGAGTAAGAAGAGTAACACTAAAGAAGAAAAAGCCCTACAAAAAGTAAGGGACAACAGATTGGTATAAAGGGACTATGAGTAAATTTAGCCTGGAAATTAGAAAAAGTCCATCCAAGTCCTCAGATTATTCAATAGCTTCTGCAGAGGAACAGCAGGGACAAACCACTAATTACTTTTAATATGGAGCACACATTGCTTATGAAGCCAAGAAAAAGATTGTTTTACCCTGGAGGTCCGTTTCAGTTCCATGTTCTTTTCTCATTATGATCCTGCTTATGAAGCATGGGACTTGAGACCAGTGAGTCAGTGGGGAGTTGCTGTATGTCCTTTAATGCCACAACCACCAGAGCAATCACCCTCACTGTATGGGGCACAGAAAAGCCTAAATGATCTAGTCTTCTAACCCTCTTAAATGATCAGTACAAATAAGCGTCTTAATTGTCTGAAAGCATATCATGAAACAAGGATCTGATTAGAATTTAAAAGAACTACAGAAATTAATTTGACAGTACAGTGATATTGCTATCCTCCATAATGATCGTGCAACATTCAAATAGACTGTTTTGGTTACCTTAAAACATTTCTGGTTCAAACAATTAACACAATCTTTGTGTGACACTGCTTTTGTGAAGATAAGGTTGATAACATACAGAAAAAGCACATTAAAGACCTAAACGTTAAAAGCTTAAATGGCTGCAACTCTCATTAAAGTTGTCACATCACTGGACCAAGTCTAAACAACAAAGATTTCCTGAATTATTTCTCTAACTGTGAAATACTGTCACTATTAGTGTCAGAGAACGTTTTCTACAGTAAGGACTGAAGAGGACTCAATCTTCCAACTCTTTCATGAGAAATGACAACTTTGAATTACTGCACCACATGGAACCAAATCAATTTCATCTGACAACTTTCGAGTTTAAAAAAAAGTAATTAAAAGGAAGAAAAGAAACAAAGTGCATAAAACAGGAAAACAAACAGAACAGAAATAAATAAAATAGCAGTTGTTTATGGACCAGAGACGGAGGTTGTCTTATACCTCCGCAAGGTCCGAAAAGAGTGCTTGGCTTGTGCTACGTCTCAAAGTATCCCAATAGCTTCTGGGGACAAGGTCCTCGCCTTCTGTTTTAAGAACCTGCAGAAGTTTCAAGAAGCACAATTGTTTGAAAACCAAAGAACAATAAAACAACTGCTTACAGACTTTAAAATCTCTTCCAACTGATCTTCAAAAGCATGGCTTGATTCTTTTGCTTCTACACAGAAATTTCTACCCAGTTACATGACACTTTGTAAATCAAAGGAACACTAGTATATTACAGCTTATGACTCATAGCTTGGCTGTGCCAAAAGTATCAACAGACTCTACTTTCCCAAACAAAATAATTTAGAGAAAATATTTATTGAAAGTAAATGCAAAAATGTCCTCTAAAACTCAGTATTTTGCTGTTGCTTTTCCAACAATTCTTTTTTGCCAAAAAATATTAATTTATATTCTCACAATATGAAATTTCTTTTTCCCATTGGTCAAAATGGAAATGCTACCATCTAATTAGTTATATAAATGAATTTCATCCAATAATCAGGATGACATCCTTCCAACAATAAAGAAACGCAAAAAAAAAGCCTACTAAGTCCAACTTCAGCTGTAACATACTCATCAAAAGACCACTATGTGCATGTGATGATCAAACTTACCTTGTTTAAACGGAAAATACATTTACATTTCTGCTCTGAAATGTTTTGTATTTGGAAGCCTGAAAAATCCTCCCTTATTAAAATAGGCCTTCCTTTATCTTGCAATTAGTTTTGAAACATCTACCTAATAAATTTCTTTTTTTCCCCAAAATGAATCTAGGGGAGGTGATCCTAAAGACAGCAGAAGACTATCTGAACTCGCTTAAGGTTATTGCAATTGAATCAATTTTCCCCTTTCTCTCCAGAACTCAATGTAAACTAGGTCGTCTACTTTCAGGGCTTCCCACTCATGTCCATGTGGGCATGCAAGACAAAGGCAGAATATGTTTAGTCTTCTAACTACAAATGAAAACCATTTTTTTTTTTTTGAGTCAACACATACTATTCTCTTAGAAGTTTACACTGATGTGACTGCTGTACCATGTGTAAAACCACACTGTTATCGTAAAGAATACTGTATAGAATTTAAGGTTTATTGTCTCTATATATTCCACAATGTCAATTATGAAAATATACATTTAATTCTTTAAAAAACCATAATATAGTACAATTTCTCTTTTTCTCTTTTTCCTTAATGTTCTTTAGCACAGTATCTCCTCAGGTAACAGGTCTTCAATACACTTGCAGTACATCCAGCAGTGATACACAGTTACATGCGTGAAGATAGTATTTAAGGGCTACATTACAATCAGTGTAATGGGGCTCAGTACTTACGGAAACATCCTGTATTAATTTGCTTCAGATATATTTTACATGTTTATAAAAATGCATCTGTATATGAACGATTACGTAAATTTACATTGTATACAAATAAGGTTCTTAATACTACAGAAACAGTATTCCAGCAGTAAGTCAGTATGTAATTAAAAAAAAAAGATAAAAATGCATTAAGATATGTAATATGAAATGTGTCTGGCTACACAATACTAAAGTATTTGCTGGAAGGAAATATGGTAAGTAATTTAAAATTTTTTTCAACTTGTGTACCACTTCCACAAGCTCTATTACGTACTTTCTCCACCAGCCAATTCAACTCATCCCTTTCTGTGAATTGTCATGAAAGAAGCATAAGAAACTACCAGGAATTATATTTATGCGCAATGTATATTATACTTTTATTTCCACTTTGAAAAATTCTGGTTTTATCTTTCTCTTATTTTGGAGTGACAGTTCCTACACTGTCACCACAGTAGTCTCATACAACTCCATTCAGTCCTAAATTGCGAAACTACAGGATTAGGTCCTCAGGGCATTGGTTTCTCTCTTACATTTATTTATCCCTTTGGTATTTACTGGGTCATGTGTATGAACACCACCTCAATCCTTTATCCAGAAAATAATGTAATATAGATATTTTAAGTATTCACTGAATCTGTTCTCCTACTGGAGATTTACTTTAGCCAATGGAGTTAGTATTTCTGGGCATGCACATTTTGTTTTCCTTACATGCATCTCATCATAGTTATCATGTTCCGGTTGGCATTTGGCTAGTAGGAGCACTCATGCAACACATGCTGAAGCAGTCTTAACACACAACTGCAGTATGCACCAGAACATGACTTGAAAGAATTAACCTATGCAAATGAAAAGACAAAAATATTTAACCCATTTAAAACTTCACTGTATGCACCCTATGGCTTAGGCTTTGTAATTTCTCAAAAAATTAGAACTGTTTTGAAGGATGAAGTGAGGAAAAGGGCCCAACACAGCACTTTGTACTACCCCAGACATTCCAGGGCTGCATCTCCTAGGTCTTGAGTATCTTCAACTATCCAGGACACCAAGTGAAACTGAAAAGGCTGCTACAATTCTTGTTTCAGTAGGAGAAATAGAAATAAAAAATATCAATATTCTGGGGTGGGAGATTTGTTGGATACTGTGAATTCCTATACATCTGAGTCTCCTTTGTGTGCAGATCTCTATTCAGGTCGTCGGAGGGAAGGAAAAGATGGTGCACACCTGGGCATGACCTTGATACAGAGTTAAGATGTGGCTGGAGTGGACCATATCTAGGAGGAGATTTTTTTACTTAAGCTGAAAGCTATTATATGAGTAGGAAAGCCTAACTAGTTTGGTTTCAGTTTAAAATCGGAGGCAGCACAAGAATATGGCAACCACCGTACAGCACCTTTCACTGCAGTAAAGCCTGATCTAAAACCCACTGAATCTCACATTTCCTACTACATTATTCTCACAACATTGCAGCATCTATATCCTGTCACTGCACCTTTTCATTCAACAGACTTCCTTCCTGAATACCACCCAAACTGTACGTGCTAACTTCACAGGAAATAAAGCTATGCATTCCTGTGAACGATTATATAAAGAAACAGACTTTAAAACTGTAAATTCACTAGTTATCTAATTCTTGTAGGTTCCCTCCCCTCACTTTGAATATCACAATAATCATACCAAAACAAGTTTAATTCTTCTATTTTAACATCACATCAAACTTTTTTATGACAGCTTTACTTCTGCTGTGATCCAAAAATTAATCAGGTCAGGGTGAAGACATTAAAAAACCCAGATCTCTCTTGCTGATTCTCTCCCCCATTCCTTAAAACTGATGACGTTTACAGTCACCTACATAATATAGGGACTATTTTCTGTAAAATCCTATTCTAGCTAAGCACTGAAATGTCTTATTTGTTCTGCAAGTGAAGCAGATAGCTCTTTTTATTTGACTATTACTTCTCAATATACATAAGGAGACAAGACAAACATGGATCAAATGACTCATGCAGAATGACTTAATTTACATACATTAATTAAAAACTAGTCTATAATTTCTTAAGATATACTTTGTCCTTTCCCTTAAAAATATAATTTCCTTCGTTTTATACAAATAGAGCAAGCAACCTTTCCTCCTGGTAGGCTTACCTGTTTTAGAATGCATGCAACAAGCATGCACAACCTTTTATGCAATTAAAGATCTATCACACTTGTACTAATTAGCAGAAGTAATTTACTTGATGAAAAAGATAAATATAATATATTTTCTTATAGCATATTATTTCACCTCTCTGGTGAAGACTGCATAAATTGAAAATAATTAGAGTACATACACTGTTAGTAGAAGTATGATATCCATAAAGTTGAAGACGCTGACATACAGCAAAAACGGGTCAAGCCAAGTATCACATGTCAGAATGAAGCCAAAAGAAGGAAAAAAAAATAAAGACAACAGAATAGGTTAAGACACAGAAATATTTTATATATTATTAGATTTGTTGTTTGTTTTTGAAATGACAGTGAAGAAAAAATGGTTTATTTTCAATCTCATTCTTTAAATTTTCAAAAAAGAAGTAAGAAGTTGCAGACATTGCTCTCAGGAGAAATGTTCCATTTGGTTATCTTTACTCTTTCCACAAGCTCTTAATTTGGGTGTAAGTTTCCTTTGTTCAGAATAAATAGTGTGTGAGAGATTCAACAACTGACCTACAGTTTTGAAAAGCTGAGAAGGATAGGTCTCTCTGAGTCAGAAGAAAAGATCCCTTTTTATGCTTAAGGAAGGTTTAAAAAGTATTAATTTTTGAAATTCAAACTTCCTATGTTTTCAGAGACAAAGATCTGAGATCAAGCATCTATGGTCCCAAAAGGATAACAGGCACTATGAGAAGCTTTGCATATATGTCAAAATGTTTCTTATAATAAGGAAATTTTGCCATAAATATGCAAATTACAAATGAACATGTTTTTTTCTGTCGTGGGCTTGACAGAGATTTGTTCCTAATTTTTACTTGTCCAACAGTAAAATAAGATCCTGCTACTGCTGCCATCCTTCAAGACAAACCACCACAGACTTGTCTATTTCTGACTTACCTTTCTTATGCACAGAAGAAATGCAAATTTGACCTTAAATGAGTGTTCAATATTCCACAAAAATCTAGTCATATAGTATAAACAACTAAAACCATTTTGCATTAGTCATAAGCAGTATTTAAAAAAAAAAAGTGATTTTTAATATAAAATCTAAGTTGACTTGCAACATCAGCTATTTTAAAAGTACTATGTTAATAACAAGCATCAGGATCAGTATGTCTACCTGAACAGTTTCCGTTAGTTCTGGGAGGAGGAGTATAGTTTGGTCTTGCCACTGAGATCTCTAAGTCTTATACACAATAACACTGGATCATTACTACTCACTTTTCCTACATTTATAGATTCCAAATGGAATCAATGCTCTTGTCATAATATGTAATACAGTATTTAAACACCAATTTCTTCCTTCTATAGACCACTTAAATATTTTTTCAATAACTGCAGTTTAGGCTAAATATATAGCTTTTTTTGTTATATACTTATACATATTCTTTTAATGATATGAATTTATTTTTAAAAAAAAACTTGAAAGTGATTAGTGAAATCACACACAACTTTGTCCTACAACAAAGAAAACAAGCCACCTACCAGCTGCAACTATTCTATTTTACTTACCAGCATTGCACGTTTTTCTTCATCTCCTTTTCTTTCTCTCTTCTCATTTTTTTTCCTGAAAATCTCTTGTAGCTAAAAAATAAACCATTTTGTTCCTAATTAGTTTTCAGACTATTTCACATGCATAACAATGATTCATCCTGCGGAACACTGCAAACAGTATTAAAACATAGTTTTTTTACTAAAATATCAGTGTTTCAATGATGCTTTACTGTTCATGTTCATGCCTTCATGCTCCTTCTGTCACCTTCACCACCACACAGAAAGGAAAAAGGAAATACTTTTTCCACAAAGTAAGGCTAATAATTCTATTTGGGAGCACAAAACTAAGAACATCCTATTTAGCTTTATATTTTAGCCAACCCAGCCTATACAAAAAGGGGGAGTTCCAGCCATTTTCACCACCTCCTTTCTTGTCGGGTGCTAATTAGTATCTGTGTGGCTATTTAGGCAGCTGGATCAACCTTTTTTTCAGATTGTTAGTTTCCAAGAGATCAGTTTTTGCTCCTGCTGGCACAAGGGAAGGGTGGAAACACCCGGTGGGGGTGAAACATTCCCCTTCAGCAGCAACAAACTACTACTCAAGAGTAATTTATCAAGTACTGTTTTTTTTTTTTCAAGTCTGTTCAAAGAATACCTTCAGGTCTTGTAAAATACCCCTTTCACAACTTTCGCTACATTAAGAGCTTTAAACATGACTTCTGAGAAAACCTCAAATACAAGATTTAAAACAGACAGACATTATTAAACATATTTATTTTTGGAAACCGCAAAGAAAAATTTTAGACTAAGAAATGGTATGTACTTATCTTTCTTTGTAAGTATCTGTATTCTTTAAATGGTTTTATTTATAGTAATACTTACTAATATTCGCAAACCATTAGAAGAAAGTGACACCGTGTTTACTCTTCATAGGAGACAGAGCAGTATTAACTATGATCCCATCTATATCTCTACCAGTGAACGTCAGCGTTTCAAAAATTGGACCTGAAAATATTGTACTGCCACTTGCAGCATTTGCTAACCTCAGAATGGCTGAAAAAAGAATAAACACTGTGGCTGACAAATTTGTTTTATCTAGAATATGGTATTTTCAGAACCAAACATCATGGCGGTGGTACCATAAATAAATGATTGTGGCAGTCATTTCAAAGACCCAATTTTACCTACCAGAAGTCTGATAAAAATCTGATACAGTAATGACACACATACAGAGCTCCCTAGGTATTGGAATGAGAAAGTTAAACTGCGTGTGATAAATTCTGCAAGTAAATTTTCCAAATTTGACTTCAGAATACCGTATTTCAGAGAAGGCAGATGACTAAAACAAAGGGATCAGCAAACTCTACTGCAGGGGTATAACAACACTGAAATAAATGAATACAGTGTTTAGCAATTAAATAGCAAACACATTTATAAATAACGTTTTATGAATAGTGATAGAACAAGAGGAAATGGCCTCAAGTTGCGCCAGGGGAGGTTTAGATTGGATATTAGGAAAAATTTCTTTACTGAAAGAGTTGTCAAGCATTGGAACAGGCTGCCCAGGGAAGTGGCAGAGTGTGTTCAAAAAATGTGTAGACATGGCACTCTGGGACATGGTTTAGTGGACATGGTGGTGTTGGGTTGATGGTTGGACTTGATGATATTTGGAGGTCTTTTCCAACCTTAATGATTCTATGAATTTCCAAAATTGACTACTGTGTTCTGGAATTGCCTGTAAGGCAAATACAGACCAGAATATTATGTGTGTCACTGTATCTATTCTTGCGTACTGCATCAATTTATAGTCCTTGGTATGTTTTTCCTAGTATTTTTTAAAAGCTGCAGGCACCAATTACTGTAACCTATGCTGACAAGGAAGGAGTCATGACAGGACATTGAGCTGGATGGCCTAGAGTATTACAGAGTTTGCAATCCAAAACTGTGGAAAGAAGAAAGGTAAATGAAGAGAGAGAAGTAGAAAGAAAATACCTTTTGAAAAGTGACAAGCCATCAAATAGGAGAGAAAAGTGGCAGTAATTGAAAAATAAGAAAGACTGGTAAAAAGCAATGCATCCTTGGATGTATTTCCCCTGCCACAGAGGCAAAGGGAATAGGATTCTGTTGCATTCATCATTAAAGCACTTGCTAAACTTCTGGAAATGGATCTTTTGTTCAGAAGGAGTGCTATAGGATACCAGCGAATAGAAAAGTGAATGTGAAAAGGATCTAGGAGTACTTTCATTGGAACGTTGTTTGAAATAGGATGAGATTGACTGCTGAAAGGAGCAAAAACAAGATCTCCTGTAACAAGGGAACACAATCCTTCTGTTCCCTGACCTCACCCCTATGACATAAGCAAAGAGGAAAGCACAAACACCATAGAATTAGCTTACAAAAACGCTAAAGAAGTTACCAGAAAAATTAAGTATTTTTCAACTCTCCACTACACATGCTCTTCAAGAATCACGTAACATGTGAACTCTACACCAATCTCTTCAAAGTCTCCTCACTTACAAAACTGAATAGTATTCGATATATTTCTAATTTTATGATAGCTGACTGTCATCAATGGAGAAGTATTTTGCAAATGGATATAGTTCAAATACCAACACTTAGAGTCTCCTGCTTCCAGGCACACAGGAGATGGATGATGTACACCCAAGCAAGGTGAGTACAGATGACAAATGTATGTTCTGGGACCAGGTCTACCACAGCTGCAGCATCACCAAATCAACTTTTATTGTCATATTTGCTTTTATTTACACAGACAGACATTACCTATCTACATACCTATCTGTTTTAGTCTTTCTCACTTCAGATCTAACATTCTGACTTATGGGTTTTGGTCTAATTTTTGAAAGGTCACTGACGTGGAAATCAGAGTTAGGGTCAGGTTTATTCTATACAAATTTGTTAAATACAGTAATAGGTGGAGAACAGTATATCTAATGTTTGAAAATTCTCCTTCCTTTCTTCTATTCACCAAGTCTGGCAACAGGAAAAGAATAAGAAGGAGAAATTTTTATCAGGGGCCATGACAGAGAACAAATAAAAAGCAGGATATGAAGAGGACTATAAAAGCACAGTTAGAAAGAAAGATGCAATATCCATAGTTAAATGTTGTCCTTGCTTCCTGCCTTATATACTTATTTGATTTCATTTTCAACATCAGTTTCTGAAAGACAAAGCCTCCTTCTTCAATTTCCTCCCACTTTGCTGTTGCAGTGGAAGCCTTTTCTTAAAAAAAAAAAAAAAAAAAAAAAAAAAAATTTGGTCAGTCTATTCCAACACTTTCTCTTTTATGGAATCGCGAAAGATTTTTTTTTTTTCTTTCTTCTTCTTCTTCTATTTTTCCTTTGGCCAATTAATCTAATGTTTGCTGGCTTTTTCCCCGGACCAGAGGAGACTGTTACTAGGAATTAGCAAATATAAGGATATGTACCTTTAATATTAGAATACAAAAAATGATCAACATGCCACAATTTGCAAGTGGTGACAGCTTCGAAAATAAATGAGATCTGTTCTGCTTAAGCTATGCCACCAGAAAACAAGTCCCCCAGATGACAGAACTCACTCACTTGGCTGTGTATCACTTCCTTGAAAAGAACAACTGAGGGAAGTTCAGTGGGTTGAGGACAGTTTCTTTCAGGTTTCTGTTTTCTTTAGGTTAGCATAGCTTATCTGAATCAAGCCTTGTAATTTAGCTTGAAAACAATTAAGAAACAGCACACAGGGAATTAGGGTGTCTTCATTTTAAATCAATAGTGGTCTGACACTTAAATCCATTCCATGTGTCTGCTTCATCCTTCATATTTTGTTCCATCTTCTTCTTCAGTAAGACAGGGCACTTTTTCTCATAAGTATTTACTGTATTTATAAACTCAACTACACAAAAATGTATGAAGATAAGAATTGATGTCTTCTGCAAATATCCTTTTTACAAACATCTGATTCGATTCTTTTATTTTTTATACCGTTAATAGCCTGTACTTGTTCAATAGAAAATAAAGGCCTCATGCAGTCTTCAGAAAGCTTGTCTAAACCACTAACCACAACCCTTTCAATGCTAATTTCTAAAGAAATGTCAAAAGCTATATTTGCTATAGCTGAGTGTTTCGGTGTAAACCCAGACATCTGTTGCATATGGACATTATCAATTTAGAAAACTCTGATTTATACTGTATATAAATGGGCTGAACTAGGTATATGTACAGTACGTTTTATTTCATTACAAATCTTGCCCAAAACAGATTATAGTGTTACGTTGTATCAGTCAATATTTTCAGGGCACCTGGGATTATAAGCAGAATGAATGAGAACACGAAGTGGTCTCCCAGGAAAAGATTCCTTCACAAGTCCCTCCATCATTATAGCAATTAAATAATTTTGCTGACTACTGATGCAGCAGTATTGCTTTAATAGCCTAATTATCTGTTAACGTAGTAGTAATTTAAAAGATTCAGAATAAAAACTGGAATTAAGCTTCAAAAATCATTATATACAACACACCCATGCACTGTAATAAGGAGACACTATTCACAATTTATGTTACTATTTCCTATTTTAAATACAGCAAATAACTAAATTCAGTGAAGAATACTCTCATGAGTATTGACATCATCACAAGTCTCAATCCAGACAAAAAAAAATGAATTTCAAGATTGCTTTCAAGAATTCAAAGACTGAAAATATACGTACCACTAAGAATTCCTTTTTGTCCACCATCTCATTGCCATCAGTATCAAACATGTTGAAAGCAATTCTAAAACCTGCATGAGGCTCTGCCAAAAAAAAAAAGCCCCATTCAGTTATTTATTTGCTTGGAAAGAGAGCAAATATAAAACTCTAAGAAATTATTTGATGTCTGTTTATAAAAGCCGTATCCTCAACTAATTTAAATTAGTACTGTTGTGTACATAGTAAATGCAAACCATAACATCTGTAAAACAGTATTATCCATGTCAGGAAAACAGAAGGCATGCTCACAAATTCATAGATTAGAGGAAAGAGACAGTAGAAATAGAACATGAAATATAAAAAAAAAAAACCTCACAGTAATGGCTGGTTAGGTAGTTAAGAGTGTTAGTTTGTAACTAGAGTCCATTTTACATTACAAACCAGAAGTTTGTAGAAAATAGGCTTTTTATGAAGACACAGTGTTCTAAAAGACACTTGTAAAAAGTTTTGCAAAGAATGTACAGGATGCAATTTCTGGTCAAAACAAATGATGTGCTGAAAGAGACCCAGAATTTTCTTATTTACATGCTTAGAGTAATTGAAATTTGAAATCAGGTTAGAATTTTAAATTCTTTCCAAAGTGTGGGGACTTTGAAGGTAATGGTAAGTGAAAGCCTTTAGGCAACATTTTGGTGATACTCAATGATTTGCAATATGGATGAATTATGGCCAAAAGTTAGTCCAGATATCAAAGAAATGATGGAAGGATATTCATAGATCCAGCAGCTAGGGACTGTAAGGGTTCAGGGTCAAGTGCCTGCTCTGATTCACAATATGACTCCAAATCATGTCTGAAGAAAAACCTAATGAATCCAACAGAAATTTTTTAATTCTATACAAAGGAAAGACAAGTAAAACATTTCACTCCTTCCCAAGAAACACCTTTTAAAACATCAAAACAAAGCCTGTATCAGGCGTAGTTTACTCTAGTTCTTCTTTGTTCCTTCTTCCACTTTGTTTTTACGGATGATAACAGAATAAGTATTCAGTGATAAGAATAAATATTCAGTATTGATAGTGTTTTCTAACATAAACAAACATCTACTTCAGTTTGACAAGATCTTATATTTTGTATTTTATCATTGTCTCATTGATGTCACCCATTATGCACTAATAGGTGAAACAATCCAGTAAGAATGTATATCTTTCTCTTCTTCCTATAATCAATGTCCTTTATGAAGTTCAGTAAATTCTGCTAGAAATTTTGTAGGAATTTCCAAGAAAAGAAATTTAAGCTTTTAACTGGGGTTTAGCTTAAGTTTATGGCTCAACTTTCTCAACAGTCAGTAAAAGGTGTTCTAGATAATAAAGCACCTAAATAAAACATAACACAGGATTCCAGTAGGAAAGGAGAAGTTCAAATGGACATAGAGATGCATGATACATTTCCTTCCATATTGGGATATGCAGGAGAGGGGAAAAAAAAAAAAGAAAGAAAAGGAGTAACATACAGTAATACATTCAGAGCTTAGAAATTTGTAAGGAAGTTTTGTTGGGGTTTTTTTTTCCAAAAATACTCACTTGTTAAAATACATAAGAGGAATAAATATTCTGTGTAAGATATCACACCTGAAGAAAAAAAAAAAAGTTATGCCATATTAGTTTCACCTCATCTTCACATCCTAAACTTGAAAATATTAAATCTATGTATAAGGAGGATAATTGTGATACATGTGCATATGCATATTCATACTTCCATGCATGTGACTGTATTCAACCTGGTCAATGAGTCTAAAATACTGATGGGGGGGGGGGGGGCCTGGGGGGGGGGGGTGTTGGAGCCTGGGGGGAGTGTGTGTTGAGTATTTTAGGGGAGGAATACATTAAATATGGCAAATAAACAACTACAGTCAGTGGAGAATGGCTCATTAAATAGGAGCTGGCTAGATTTTTAGAAACTGATAGAAATTATTATTCCATCTTTTTTCCAAAAAACCCACTAATAGTTCATGGCAACACTCTCTAACAGTATGACAGCATTTACTCTGAGAACATTAATAGTGCTCCCTCCTGATATGTACCACTTGAATACAGTTCTTGACTTTAATACATGCTTTGTAAGTGGCATGTCCTGTATCAATTGAAAACTTGGCTTCATATTATCTATGAATGCCTAGATTTGGGCTTTTGAGTTGTTTTCATATGCACATTTTCATAATCATCACTTGGAATTTATATTAAAACTCATACTAAATGAATGTGTAAATTTTGTAAGTATTTTAAAAGCCTGTTAAGAGACATTTGTACTATGTCTTCTACATCCAGAAGATCTGTAAGGAATACATTCTAAGCCTTTCACCTTTTGTTAGATGTCAAAAGGCAATCACAGTGTGGAATGGCACTTCCTAGTCTCTTCAGAAGTGATTAAGGCAAAATTTAAATAAGAACTAAGTCAATATCAATATTGCCTGTATCAGAAATTATGTAGCCAGCAGGAGTAGGGAAGTGATTGTACCCCTGTACTCAGCACTAGTGAGGCCGCACCTTGAATACTGTGTTCAGTTTTGAGCCCCTCACTACAAGAAGGATGTTGAGGCGCTGGAGCGAAGCTGGTGAGGGCTCTGGAGAACAAGTCTTATGAGGAGCAGCTGAGGGAAGTGGGGTGGTTTAGTCTGGAGTAGAGGAGGTTGAGGGGAGACCTTATCGCTCTCTACAACTACCTGAAAGAGGGTTGTGGTGAGGTGGGTGTTGGTCTCTTCTCCCAAGTAGCTGGCGATAGTAGGAGAGGAAATGGCCTCAAGTTGTGCCAGGGAAGGTTTAGACTAGATATTAGGAAAAATTTCTTTACTGAGAGAGTGGTCAAGCATTGGAACAGGCTGCCCAGGGAGGTGGTGGAGTCACCATCACTGGAAGTGTTCGAGAAATGTGTAGATGTGTCACTTCAGGATCTGGTTTAGTGGGCATGGTGGTGTTGGGTTGATGGTTGGGCTTGATGATCTTCAAGGTCTTTTCCAACCTTAATGATTCTGTGATTAATATCTAAATAGTATGCCTGGTGCCATAAGCTGTACTTCTCCTTTTCTAGCTCTTGTGTAAAAGAGATAACCTTGCAGAATGCCCATATAGTTCCAATGAAGAGAAGCATCTTAGAGTTCAACAAAAACTGAAAGCAATGACTTGCAGCTCTCCCAAAAAGCCCTTAGCTCTAATGATTTTCAAGGTTGAACTAGCAAAACTGGTTCTTTATTTCTTACCAATTGATTTTTTCTGTTCTGCAAAACCAAAAGTGTTAAGTCAGTCCACAATATTAGACTATTTCAAAAGAGTAAAAAAAAAAAAAAGGTGCCTGAGAGTAAAGATGTCTATCAGCTGGGATTTTCAAAAGTTGCTGGCTGTCTCCTTGATTTCAGTCCAAGTCAGGTGCAAAAGTTTTTCTAAAAACATCCACAGCTTTGGATGTTTAAATATCTTTTAAAATCTGACTTAACTGAATATTTGACAAACTATGTAAATAGTAATCTGATTTTTTTCACTGAAAAACCTGTAAAATTAAAACTCAAAACACTGTATCATTCATGTGGTTTTTACAATTATTTGAACACATTTAACATCAGCACTTCCAAAGTAAGAAACTTTGGTATCTTCTACTAATACTTACAGCACAAAAAGTTCTAATTAACTCTGTCCTGAAATAATACTCAGAAGGGACCTTCTGTCCTCTTGAATAGCTGAGATATGAAAATCTCAGCTATATTTCTTTTGTATCTGTCCAGATGCCTCCCCAAACCTTTGATCATACAATACTCCTCCCTAAAAGCCAATTGTTCTGAAAGAGGAGTGCCTTTAAGAGAATCATGTCTACTATCCTCAAACATAAAAGAAAAAATAACCAAGCACAGAGATCTCCACAGATATCACAAAGACTGGAATATAAAGACAATACAAAAGAAAGACAGTTAACTGAATTGCCTTTGGGACCAAATCACATACTAGAAAGAATCACTAAAACCCTCAACCTTTACCAGCTGAAACTCTCCTAACCCTCCCAACTTCCATTCCATTCATGGAAAAAAGGCATTTTCCCACCTTTTGATCCAAGAGCAAATTTAAGTCTTCAGAACCAAGACTTTACTACTGCTAGTAGATGTAGTTAGGAAGGCTACTAAATATTTTTGATTATCACCTACTCTTTTCCTCAATTTACACATAGCTCCACACTGAAAATTAGCAAGCATTTAAGTGACACATGCTCTATGCTTTATCTTCTTGCTTTTAGACAGCCGCTTGCAGAAATTAGTTTTCAAAGGCCTGTTTGAATCTGTTTGGACAAGCAGCTATCAAGAAATCAGATACCTCAAAGGTTCTCATTCAGTGGTGTACAACATTCTTTAATAGCCAGTCAGTAAAGGTAAATATGTATTTTTGTTTGTTTGATGACACCTTCTTTGTTGTGAAAGGAGGAAGAAAGTGCAATTGTCGAGTAGTCCATCACAAGTACGAAGAGAGCAATATAAAAGGCCTTGAAAGCATTCTCTCCTTTTGTTTGTACTGGCATATTGTAGCTGTAGACAGATAGTTCTGGTTGATTGCTCTGAGTGTTATGGAAGAGAGGCTCTGAAATGATGACTGAACAGAAAGAAAAGCTTACACTAAGATCAGAAAGAAGAGAGGCAGGTCACTCAAGGGTAAAGCATAAAAATAAAACCTAAGGCCAACTAGCACAAATCTACATGGCTCATTTGATTTAAATGAATCTATGGCAAAATAAATGGACATAGACTTTTGCTACTTGCTTCATATTAAAACGTGCATGCTTTAAAGAAAATGAGTAAATTAATCTTGGAGTTTTCATGTCATGTACTAAATAAACACTAAATTAGAATTAAGGAGACCTGAATTCTATTCCCATTCCTGTCACTGGCTTACTGAATGACCTTATTAGTCGTAAGACCCACCATCTTTTATCTATAAAATGGGATAACGGAATGCACCTTTTCATAAAGCATGCTGAAAAGCTACGTAAGTGCTTAAGTTTATTACTAATTTTACCAGCTAATTATGCCAGTTTTGAGTCCTCTTAATTCCATCAACTTCTGCAGAATTTCACTGGCAGAAAACTGGAGTAGATACTGTTGAATCAAGACTGCATGTTGCAGACATTTTATCACATATTTAATAAGCAACATCCAGATATGTTTTTTTTAAAAATTGATAATATATTGATTTAACAGATTTGGAAGCTGAATTTTTATGTAATTAATATTGTAAAAGTCAGCTGTAATGGCTATATAGAAAGCAGCCTAGAGCAAGGAAATACAGTGCAAAGATGTGCCAGTTTCTGCCTCCCTGGGGTTATGGCTGCAGACACAGGGAAGAAAGTGAGTGCCTCCATGCACTAGATATTCGAGCCCAGGACCCTCCTCTGAGAGTAGGTGCATACTCAGTCCTTTAATAAATTTGAGCTGCATTTCAATTAGATTCATCAATTACATGCATACGTTTGATTGGAATTTTGTTGTTGGCATATGTATTTTAAATATCCATAAACATATATAAACATGTATTTTATAGCAAGTACTTGTGGCTGCTTTTAAAAACATTTAAAACATTCCACCAGATCTTTGCCATTCTGAATATAAGCAAAGGATTATTTACCATAAACAGCTTTTAAATGTCTGTATACAAGACATCATGGAGGGGAGGGGTGTTCTGTGTTTTTTGGTTTTTAAGTGATAGAGCTTATTAAGAAAGACAAAAAAAAACCCCAAAACAGAGACCAGGAGGGTGGCTCATGGCTCTTCCTTTACCAGTAGTGTGAGTTTTAAAAGCTATCAAAGCCCTCATCTGCAGAATTTAAAGGGATATATAGCATTTCTGAAACTCTATGTTGTGAAGAAAATGCTTATTCAGTGATAAAAGATACCATTACTGTCTTTAGAAATAATCACATCATTGAACCTATTAAAAAAAGTAAGAGATATTGTGGTTTTATGAGAATATTCTATCTTAGGTCTATAGATCATTCTTCATTACAACTAACTGAACCTGAAACATCAGTTTAACAAACTCTAAGATACCAATTCATTTTAAAGAGGCTAGCTATAAGATAGCATGATTAAAACACTGTAAAGACTAAAGGGAACTTTCCCATGCTGCAAATGTAGAAGGCAACAAACACGTTTTATATTTTTTAAAGATGTGATTCAGACTGAAGTACATCATCACTTTAGCCACAATAAATTAATAAAAGTAATAATTTGGTTCAGGAAAATAAATTCTTATCCCCCACCTTTCTCATTAAGATCACGGAAAAGTTTGGATGATCCTTTCCACACTGGTGGTGTCTCCATAAGGATCTGATTCAGTTCCTGAAAAATAAGATTTAAAAAAGATAAAAGTATATATCAAAATATTTAATGAAGTAGTTAACAGATTATGAGTAAATGCTAGGAAATCAATATAAAAGATAGGAACTGCATGCAAATCTACCAATTAATTTAACTTCAGTTTACCACAATGACTTTGGAAGTATTCAAGCACATATACAAATTTTGCACACATGATTATTCCAAGCATTGCTCATCTGCATGAATATTAAGTGTTTGCAGAGTTGGACAGAGACATGTAACATTTGTTGCTGAAATTACTCACCACTGCCCATAATCACTGAAGCCAAAGATAAGTCCCCCTGGATTTCACAGAATCACAGAATCACTAAG